CCTCTTTTCTTCCCATCCTAATTTGATCCTTGGCCCCCCGCCCTCCCTCCCTCCCTCCCTTTCTTCCACCCTCCCTACATTCCTGCGCTGTGTGTTAACAAACGTAGTACGTTCCAGACGGTCGATTATCAGCCAGGTAAACATTTTTTAGTTATGCTGAATGTATTGAGATTTACCAGGTGACAAACTGTTGCTTATCTAGAACAAACCGACTTTCTCTTCCAACTCTTAAGCCTAGAGTGAACTCTGACCCCTGTGCTCTTCACATGCAGGGTTACACACAGGCTCACTGGAGCACAGACCGGTAAAATCTGCTTAAGCTCTTTGTCTCTGGTTCCAGCTAATGATAAGTTAGCATGGCCTCCCAATTCTGCTGTATCCATTCCCTATGCACCTCTATGAAGTATTGAATCAAGTTTTCAGAATCAGAAGGGGTCCCAAGCACCACATTGTGATTTGTTAATAAATGTACTCATGTACTCGTAGTGGTATAGAAGCCTGACATTATATTCCTAAGCGTATTTTGATTCACAAGAAGTTTATTTGATTTCTTCAGAAAAAAAAAATCAACACAATCAATTAATTCAGATCTCTCCACAGCTTCTATGGGCTGCCAGTGTCATTTCTTCTTTGTGATAGTGCTGATTTGTCTATACCTCTCAACTTCTTTAATATGAATACTTGTTCCTTTCCCAGGCCTGTGAATATATTCTTTAAAAAAAAACCATTACCAGTACCATTCATAAGCCAGCACTGTGTAAATTCATCATTGGGTGTTTCATCATTGTCTCTCAGGGGTTAAGCCAAGGAGTTCATCTTGTAACCGGTTGCCTAGCAACGACAATGCTGCTCAGGCCAGTAAGGAAGACGGCAAAAAGCTTCAGGTGGAACAGACAGGTGCAAAAGATCCCCTCTCCATCCCACACTATGCTTTCATAACAAAGATGGTGTACAGTATGCAATTTGCCAACAACAGCACAGGAAAAAATATTCAGATGGTCACAGCTATGACAACCACATAGAAAGCTGATTTTGTACATGCTAATAATTTAAACACTTATAACAACAGGTTGACTGTTGTTGTGTTAATGTTGTAATAGTCTGAATTAGGGGGCATCAGGTAGTATGATCAGATGGAGCAACCCTCCACTGTGAGTATCATCTAATAAACATGAACATCAGCTGCTGTCTGCTGCAGCCTGGTGACTCACATAAGGCCAAATTGAGTTCACATGACTTGTAAACTGTCTTTGGGGATTCCTTGTTGACTCTCTCCCAGTGCCTGCTTGGCTATAATTCCACTTTCATGTTCGTAGGCCGTTCCATGAAGAAGAGAAGTTCTTCCCTTACACGAGTAAGTGTGGGCAGAGCACAGACCCCTGCCAAGCCTGATAAGGGGACAACGGATGATCAAGGTGGCTAGCATGAACAATCAGCAATATTTTTTTTTTCATGCCCATATCTGCATCGCTCAGGTCTCTCTTTTGGAATAACAAGCATGTTGCTATGATGTTAACAGCTTGCTCATTCTGAATTTGCTCCTTTAAAAAAAAAAACAACAGACAAACAAAACACTTTCGACTGGCCAACTCTTCTTTCCACGTATCCCTTCTTTCTGTCCATGTTCTCTTTCATTAAATCATGCTTACTGACTACTGAATTTACCCCTAGGCAGCTGCTAAGCTTCTCTACACTGTTCGTCTGTGATTAACCGGGAACACTGTGCTCGTTCCATGTATGACTTAACCTTTCTGCTGTCTTAACCTACCAGATCCTGTACTGTCAGCTGATCTTGTTTTAACCTTTTTTCAATTGTTTTCTTTTTAAGTGTCAGCCCAGGAATGGTTTTTCTGTGTGCCGTGTCTGCACTAACACAGTGTATTGTTTTGTTGTCACAAAGTGTTGATTGTTTTCTCCCTCTCAGATGACGTCATAGCTGGATTTAAGTCACTGGGCTTGTGCTTCAGTGTGGTGTGTGTCAGTGCCATCCCACCATAGCAGTCCCAAAGCACAGAAACCACAGTAACTCACTGCAGTCTGTGTATTGCCATTAACTACCAATGCTTCTGTTTGTCCTTTAGACGTGTCAGCCTCTTCCACCATGAGTTGTTGTAAAAATGTTCCTGTTTTGTATACATGTTTGTTCTGTATGGTTCCCCTAGACAATAATACAACACAGCTACCATCTTTACCCCAAAACTCCGGTAGACCATTCTTTGTATAACTATAACCATATCTCAGACTAATAACCCACATCCTTAATATCTGGGTGTCGAGCAGCGAGCCATGCTGCCATGCTCCAGGAGCTAGCACTCAACAGCTAACAAAAAACAAGTCTGTCTGCAACAGATGTCTTCTCAGTAAGGGGCTCCAAAGGATAGTGTGAATCTGTACTCTCCTTTTTGAAGAGCTAGCATTTAGGGCCATGTGGCAAAATCAATCCGTCAACACTATAACTCTTCTTCTGGTATTATTTTTACTTCCTGGCTTAGGTAGCAACAATAGCATAAATGGGGAATTGTCATTCTTCCATTTCATTGAAGCAGGAGCTCTTTGTTTCTGCTGTGAAGGTCTACCGCAGCGCTTTCACAACACTATACAGAACAATACACTTGTTCAGTACTGACCTTATTTTAATCAAATTTGGCACCTTCTTTATCTAAAGCACAGAAACGTTTGCACAGCAGAAGCTAAGGAGCTCTTTCCAGATCACAGTCACTTGCCCTATCACTTTGGTTTCTTTCACTTCTCATCTTCCTACCCAATAGTATTCCTCTGTTGTCTCACTAATGGTTAGTTTTTTTCCCCATTCAGCACACTTTCCTCTGCCTCAAGGAACCATTGATTTGACCTGTTTTAACTGATCTTCAGTTACCAGACAATCAGTCTTTGGTCTATCTCAGCACTCTTCCATGGCATCCTTTCCTTACTGTCTTTTACTGACTATCCTTATTTTGTTGAATGTCACTGAAAGTTAACAAGATAAAGACAGTTGATAAGGAGACCATGTAAGATTATTGGGACTTAACCTTTGGTTGTTTATGTTGATCCTTTCCTGTTGGTTAAATCACATGGTGACCTTTCTAAACTTAATTGACCCCTCTCTACTCCCTTCTTTGTTTTACCTTCATCCCCCATTCTCATCCACTCTTTCCTTCTTGGCCTTTTTGTTCTCCTCTTTTTTTGGGGGGTGATTTTTTTTTTTTTTGGTCGTGTAGCTCGCAGGCCACCGGCCAGCACTGTGGATGGAGGGGTCCTTAGTCGCCTGCTCACCCCTACCCAGGCCTCACTAGCTAGGAGCAAGAGCGCCGCCGCCCTGTCAGCTGAAGGAACAGATGCTCCAGGTAACCTCCGCTTAGGAGACCCTGACAGAGAGGAAGGATGGCTAGACTCAGACCCTGGTCCTCCCTACGTAGCCTCATTTTATATCAGTAGAAAGTCATTCCAGTCGCTCCCAGTGTCACTTCACTAGATCTAAGCTCATCCTAGAATCTTGCTGCAGACTTGTGCTTTTGAAACAATCCTTTATAAAGTTAATAGTGGCCTCTTGGTTGTGGTGGAATTACATTAGTCATTACACAGCTCCCCGCGTTTAAAAGCCGCTATTGTAACGATCATCTGTTTTATGTATGTACAGTAGTTATTTACAGCAAAGTACATTCATGTGAGAGAGCATAGTTACTCTGTAAATATTGATACACACACATGGATCTAGCTCACATGCGCTCTCAAATTTGACACAATTGGCTGTTGTGTGCTGAGCTGAGCAGGGCAGACTTAGCTGGGAGCATTTCTCTGCATCTGAGGAGTCCATGCCTGGAGATTTGCTCTAAGCTGCTTACCTGTTGGTTCTTGTTACGTCAGAATCAGACTGTTGTGCTATTGCATGTGTCCTGGTAGTGTGGTCAGAGTGCTAGGGACTCCAATACGGGCTGTTAAAGGTAATTACTGGCATTTTCATAGAATATTTGAAGTCACGCTTATAAAATTCAGTAAATCTGCTTTACATCTGCTGTCTGGAACTAGATTTGGCACTTGAAGCCATCTAGTTGAGGTGTTATGTCTCACTGGATAACTTGCATATCTTACATTTAAATTTTTATTTTTATGTTATGCCATGATGGAATTGATTGACAGTACATAAAGCAGCTTAGACACCCAGTAATTAATCTCCCGATGCAGTGATGAATGCAGTAGTTTTCTTGTCTGTTTTTTAAAGATAGAAAGAACCAGAAAGCACTGAATCACTTAAAAGTGGCAACTGTATTCCCCATGTTGGTTTTAGGTTGTGGTGTTTATTGACCGGCCATTACAAACCCATTAGCGGCTATAGATCTTCTGCTAAGTATAGCCCCAGTAGAAACATGACACATTCGCATTAGCAGCAGCAGTGGCAGCTCATGACTGGGTACATTTCCTAGTCACCATACTGTACTGCTGCTCAGTATGCAGTCAGAATGAAGTACAAAACACATTTGTGACCAGGCTGTGGCAGGGAGAGTTCTCCAATTCTCTGGATTATCATGGCTAATCCCTCAATCTGACACAGCAAGCTCATAGCTAGTGGACAACAGTATTTACTTTCCTTACTAACTACAGGCTACACTTAAACTCAGTGTTAGGGACAGGGCTGTTCACCCACTGTCTTTCCAGGTTTATAGTTATTTAGCAGCTCAGCATCAACATTATAGATGTTTACATACAACTGAGACTACAGTCGGCTTTGTCCCTGAAACACAGCATTGTTGCATTCAGAGTCTGATCTGAGTTACAGTAGGATGACAGGAAGGACTCAAAGACTGCAAATGACTTACCGAACACAACAAACAGTATCAACATTCACTGTGCGATTTGTGTACTAATAAATCTGTGTGATATCTGTGTGCAGTGTCTGTGTTTGTTGTACCGTGTTGGTGGTAGGTTTTGTGTGTGTGTGTGTGTGTGCTGTGCTCTGATGCTTGGTGTTGAGGTTGGTTTATGTTGTGCTGAGAGGCTATTGCATTTGGGGAGTGTCCGGGGTTTTGGTTAGACTGTTGCTCTCTGCTACCCATGTCTCCAGTAATCTCCAGCCCAATCAAAGCTTCAAAAATCAAGCTGTTGCCTCCCCTACAGTGCTGTATCTAACAAATCGCTTGTTTTTGTGCTCTTGTCCCCTACAAAAACACTCTCCTGTATCTTTCAACCATCATATACCCTCCCCTTCCCTCTCTCTCTTCCTCTTTCTCTCTTTCCCACTTTCCCTCTCTCTTTCCTTCGACTCTTTATTCTTCTGTCCATTTGCTCTTTGCTGCTTTGCTGCCCAACTCGACCGCTTATCACGCCTCCCTTTGGTTGTGCTCCCCTGGCTCTGCGATGACTGTGTCCTTTACCAGAGTGTCACCTGTGTCCTCGCTCAGCCTCCGCCAGTCCCCTGCACCCACCGCGTGGACCTGTGCGCAGCCGCAGCATTGACCGACAGAAGAGCGGCATGACCACTTCTGTGTCAGCCGACGGAGCCCTCGACCCTTCACTGGTGAGAACAACTCTTGACGTTCATGTTACTAACACTACCGGCCTACAAAGAAAACAGTTTGAATCTGACATTTACAGCAAGAAATGTTGTATAATGCTGTTAACGATCAGCTGAAGTGAAAGCTTTCACTGCAAATAGATTTGCCGATTGTCCTCCTTGTCCCCTCATCCTTTTTGTATCCTCATTGAATAAGTAGGTTTTATATGGCTCTGCCAGTATACTGTAAAATGATAATGCCTGAGGTAGACAGGCTGATATTGTTTCCCGGAGGAGGTCTGTTTGCTTGTACCGTGCTGAGTTCAGTCACTTTTGCATTATTTGAATGCCCAAGTAGTAATGTTGTATTGAAAACCCTGTTTGACGTGTGTGTGTTTTTTAACTGTCAACAATGATGTCTCAGTTTGAGAATTTGATTAATTGATTTTTTTTCAGGTTGAACTATTTTTCAGTCATGTGTCAGTTAATTTGCATTTATTGATAGAGTAACCTGGATGCGGGGCTTGAGATAGTATCTGTAGTCTTATTTAAATTGAAACTGACAACAAACGCATGCTTTCCTATACTGAAATGACTCAGCTCAGAGAAATAAGTGGATGGCACCAAAGACTGCTTTATATGCACGTATCCGGCTACATTTGCCTGTCAAAGTACTGCTGCAGGATGCTAACCATAGGGAAATATTGTTCGTCCAGCTGTTCTTTGGCTGGTCACTCAGAATATGAACATGTTCATATGTTTCAAAAATGTTATCCTACTTACTTACTCTTATAAGTGATGTCTTTAAGTGAAAGATTTCTCACTTGATGGCCCATGGTGCCTTGTTGTTTCTCATAACCTGCATGTCCTCCGCCTCCTCTGTGGCTGTGAAGGGCCTCATTGTCATAGAATGAGACAAAGGAATCCACAGTGGCCTGATTATGGGCAGATCAGGCCATGCAGAGCAGACCCCACCCTGACCCTGGGGCCAAATGTCAAAAGACTTCCTCACCATTTCATTGTCTCCTTGTCTCCACATGCACAGATTGGTGTGGAGGTAATTAAAATCCAAAGCCTATCACTCAGGCATTGTGTCACACCTTAGTTCATTTGGGTCTTTCAAGTCAGCTGAGTTAGGCCGCCTGCTGAGGGCTATATTTCTTTGAAGAAATGATTATAAGGGACATTTTAAAAGAACCTTAAAGGTTGTCATAGTGAAATACTGTAAATGATTGTGACTGCTATGTGTTTCTTTGAGATCACTTCTGGACCTCTCACCATACAAAGACGCTGTGTCTATATACTGTTCTTGCTCCAGTGTTATATTGACATTAATAGGAAATTAATGTCTTGTGCCTGTTATGAAACACCAATTGTGTGTCCTGCTTTTTCTTCCCTCCCTGCCAAGAGAATGATTGTTGAGCTTTATCAGCTAAGATAATACACATTTATTAGAGAGCAGGGCACTTTCTTCTTTCTAAAATTCATTATATCTAAATGACTTACTTGGCATTCAGGTTTGCGCTGGGACAGTAGTGTGTGTATATAGTGTCACATGGTTGACCTTGCTGTGCCCTCTGTCATCATATTTACAGTGCCAAACATAGAACACGGGCATTAAAAATAGATGAATTAAAACCTGACCCACGGCCTCCTTCACACCAGCATTGTGTCACTGTTCGCCAGAGAAATTGAAAGAGGCAGAGGAAAACTTAAGAAGGAGATCAATTTTCAGTTTTCATTACAGCTACTCTTTTATAATAGGCATCCACATTTCCATGCATTTTTGTGGATTCTGTCCAAGTGCAAAGACCATGGTCCATAGACCAGCGGTTCCCAACATAGGGAACCAGACCCTTTTGGGGGTCCAAAGATCAACATTAGGGATAGTCCTGAATTACTTATTTGATTCTGTCCTGTCTCTGTGGTACTTAAGAAGGACAAGCAGTTAACATCACCTCAAGGGCAACGTCCCGCCTCCCCATCTACAAACCTGGGACGCAACCGTTCACCATCCCCAGCCCCCAATCCATCCCCAAAGAGGACCCCTTCCCCAGGAGCAGCGAAGTAAGACTACAATGCCTGTTGGAATGCAGCCTTTCGTTGTGATTTCATTATGAAACAGACACAATTTCAACAACAATTTCTTCTTACAGGCAAAATTCCAAAACACGCCCACCCTCACCTGGTGCAATGAAACAGCGTCCCCCTTCCCCCCAGCCTATGTCAGCCAAACCTCCACCTATCCAGAAACCAGCGCTCACTCCAACAGGGCCTCCCACCTTGCGAAAGAGGGACTCCAAGTCCAAGGATCTGTGTCCTGTCCAGGCTATGTCTCCACAGTCCTCTGATTCCAGCAAGACCAAAGACAAAGATGGTGAGAAATTCAGTGATTAGAATAAAGTTCACAATATAAATGTTTCATTATACTTATATTATATAGACATAAAAATATATCTGTGTCTCACTGTAGGAGGTCTTTCATATTAGTACAAAACATGTAATGTAGTGCCATATAAAAGGCAAATGCAACAACCATGGTCAGCAGAGAGGTTTTAATTAGTCAGTACTAATATTTGCCAAGACAGATTGTTATTCTGGCAACCAGGATGTTTGCACTGGTGCATCAAGACATGCTGTCAATTTCAGGCAGTGAAGTGAACCCAGCGGCATGTCCATTATCCAGACACCTGTTCCATTTACACTGAACATTACAGAAACTGAACTAAGGTGAATAAAATGACAGGAGCTATTGGATCCAAAATAAATCTTAGAAGGATTTGTGCAGAATTAAAGATGCAGAAAACACATAATATTGTTTTTATTTTATTTTCAACATTATTCTTTGTAATGTTAGCTAACCTAGCCAGTGCATCAATGCATGCTTAAACCGACGTGGCAGCAGCTCCGTTTGCAATAAATCTCAGTGGAGCAGGAGACCTGTTAAGTTCCAGCTGGAGTCACATCCTGTTACAGATCTGGTATTGTTGCTGCTGCCACCTCCTGGAGAGAATCGTGCTCTGCAGGATGAAATAGCTTGTTAATGATTTAATGCTATATGCAATCAGGCAAAGACAAACTAAATTGTTGAAGGTGGTTTAGGTGTCCACAGTTATATTTGGGACTGTATGAAAAGGTGAAATACTCCACATGACTCACTGTCATTGTATATGTAATTTGATATCAGAATATATCAGGATGTATTGCATTTTCTAGGAAATCAATAGAGAGGCATTTAATAGGTAATGTCTTTTTATGATTTATCTATTAAATACAATACCTGACTTTGATATAAAAATCAATAGAAATCACAATACGTTCATATAGCATTTTATATATATATATATA